TGGTCGGCCATTCAAACCTATGGAAAAGTATCGATAAACAGGGTGTTCGCAGCGAACACCTTAATAATCGATTATTCACCACAGCTTCAAATGGGGAAATATCGATAGCTCGCAAAGCACGCCACGCCACTGCTGAGTAAAGTCTGATTTCAAATCCTCACATAAGAAATACTCTTCTTCATAGGCGGTTCTAGACCCTTATGCTTGATGGTGATGCGCATTTTCCCCTTCGAGTATTTCGCAATTAGATACTACAATTTCTGGTTCATCCGTGAAAACACTTACATGCACAGAGAAACTGAATGTACATGCGTTGTTTCTAAACTGAGCCAGAAATTGTAGCTCCTGACTGCAAAATTTAGTCTAATTTTCAAGAGTAACCAGTAACATCAGTGGGTATAAATCATTAATCCGCAAACACCAGCTCTGTATATCCCATCATGCTACCGCTGTTCAGCGTCCAACCCACGTTCAAACTGGGGCTCTCAAACTGGCACGATTTCTTCAATTTCTCAACCATATCCGCACGAAATTCCCTGAAAATTTCAAAATTTGATCTGCGATATGTCCCGGACACATCGGTTACCTTCAAAGATCGTCGGGCCGACGATCTGGGAGAGGCAACATTCAACAGTTCCATCGACGAGCCTCTTCGAAGCCCCCAGTTTGAACGTGGGTTGGACGCTTTACCCAGCACGTCAAAGCTCACACGCTGACACCTTTCGCATCGGCCCCTCGGTCTGCGCCTGCGCTCTGGAACGAGTCAGCGCGAAACCAGGCGAAGGAATACTAACGGATCCGGTGCTACGTCACAAACAAACGGCTCCGGGTGTTATTTTCAAAGGCAACAGCAGAGGCCAGAGGATTCCGCTGATTAGCGATTACTCGCCACTCGCCGCGAGTGGCGAGTGGCGAGCGCGAGGTTTGGGTTTGACCGCGACGGACCCTGGCGATGGGCCAATTACGCAACGCAACGGCCGACGTCGAAGCAGAGCACCAACAAAGCGTCTCTTTGGAAAGTGCTGGCAGGACTGGTAGGACTGGATCGGAGAAAATATTGTAATTAAATTAGCAGAGCGCCTTTATGGCTCCTATACTTATCGCGAGCAATCGGACGAGAGTCGAGAGGCGTCGTCCTTCCCGGAGAGAAATCAGGGTGCTCGTCGTCGTTCACGGATGGAGTTGACAAGTTGGCCGTTGAGTTGTTGGACGGTGGATGCGCGGATGTCGGGTGTCGACCGGCGGAGGAGGATAGCCGATAGCGGTTGACCCAGAGACAAGAGACCCTCCACTGGCCTCCTAGCGACAGGTGGAAGATTTTACTTTCGGGGATTCAACAGTTCCTTATGGACAATTATTAGGGAGCAACAGTCATCACCTCAATTTCGGCTGTTGACCTACCTACATGGTCAATGATGAGCTTCGGGTGACGTCATGAGCCAAACAAGTTTCGCAAACTTCGACCATTTTCGACTTGTTTGCGAAACGAAACTGCCAACACGTTGTTAAACATCAACCATGTAGGTAAGTCAACAGTAGAATGCTGAAGTCCCGAAAGTAAAAGCTTCCACAATGGCCAAGATACTAGTGGAGGGTCTCTTGTCTCTGGGTTGACCTGACGAGTCCATTTGGCACGCCATCGAGCCCGCCAGGTTACTTAACAGCCAATCTGCAGACCACTCGAAAATCCCACTCCTGCCGCTAGGAATACAGGGACGTTAAGTGTTAAGTGCCTCAGGTTAAAAGTATCCACGGGCGGAACTGGGG